CTCCCAAGGAGCAGGGAGCCTGATGCGGGACTCGATCCCAGGACCCTGGGATCATGACCTGAGCCGAAGGCAGATGCTTAACCATCTGAGCCACCCAGGCGCCCGACATTCTCCTTTTTAATGTCAGACTTTGATTTTTGTCGTATTTGTGAGCATGACAGCGTCAGCGATCCTGTTTTCATTTGCATTTCTGTGATTGCCGTGAAGCTGAGCCTCTTTACATATGTTTATTGACATTTAAGATTTTTCTCTTCAGCACATCTTCAGCTTGTTCTTTTTTGTTGCCCATTCTTTCTTTTTAAGGAATTCTTTGTATATTCTGGACACGAATCACTGGAGGTTATAGAAGCGGCAAGTACATTCTCCCAGTCTGTGATTTGTCTTTTCATTATGATATCTTTTATCCTGTAGACATTTCCCATCATAAAGTGCTTTATTTTTGTAGTAATAGCTTTATTGAGACATAATTCACATGCTATAAAATTTACCCTTTTACAGTGTGCAGTTCACTAGTTTTCAGTGTATTCAGAATTGTGCAACCATTGCCACTGTCTCATTGTGGAACATTTTTCTCCTTTCAGAAAGAAACCCTCTGCCCATTAGCAGTCACCCCCTCTCTCCCTCCGCAGCTCCTGGCAGTCACTAGCCCATTGTCATCTGTATGGAGTTGCCTATTCTGGAGATTTCTTATCAACGAAATCATGTAACACATGGTCTTTTGTGTCTGGCCTTTTTCTTAGCATCATGTTCTCGAGGCTCATCCATGTTGTAGCAGATTATCAGTCCTTCATTCTTTTTTATTGTCAAACAGTATTCCGTTGTAATAATAGCCCACATTTTGTTTATCATTCATCTTTAGTGGACAGATGATGATTTTTCACCTGCCGGCGATCATGATGCTGTGAACATTCTTACAAGGTTTTGTATGTACATGTGTTTTCATTTCTCTTACATATACCTGGAAGTAGAATTGCTGGGTCATACGGTAAAACTCTGTGTTTAACATTTGGAGGAGCTGACAGACTTTTACACAGTGACCGCACCGTTTTCTGCTCCCACCAGAGATAGATAAGGGTTCCAATCTTACATCCTCACCAACCCATTGTTATCTGTCTTCTTGAAGTTTCCCATCCTGGAGAGTGTGAAGCATTATCTCATTGTGGTTTTGATTTGCATTTCCATAGTGACCAATGATGTGCTTCTTGGCCATTTGTATGTCTTCCTTTAAAGAAATGTCTATTCTTATCCGTGGTGCATTTGTTAAAGTGGGGTAGTTTATCTTTTCATTAGAAGAGTTGTAAGAATTCTGGAATGTTCTGGATGGAAGTTCTTTATTGGGTACATGATTTGCAAATATTTTATCCCATTCTGTGAGTTTTTTTCACTTGGTAAAAGTGAAACACAAATTTTTTTTTAACCCAGAATTTTTCATTTTAAAGTTCAGTTTAACTGTTTTTCCCTCTTGTTGCTTTTGCTTTTGGTGTCCCATCTAAGAAATCATTGCCTAACCCAGACTAATGGATTGACCCTTATGTTTTCTTCAAATAATTTTATGGTTTCAGTCTTACATTTAGGTCTTTGAGCTATTTTAAGCTTACTTTTATCTGATGTGAGGTGGGGATCCAGCTTCATTCATTTGCATGTGGCTGTCCATTCGTTCCAGCACCATTTGCTGGAAGGCGGTACTTTCCTCATTGAATTGTCTTGGTGCCCTTGTTGAAAATTCATTGTCCATAAATGTAAGTGTTTATTTCTGATGTCCCAATTCTATTCCATTAATCAATATGCCTGTCCTTATGCCAGCACCCTACTCTCTCAATTACTGTGGTTTTGTAGTAAGCTTTGACACTGAGAGGTAGGAGTCTTCCAAGTTAAAGTAGTTAAATATATCACTTTTATTCTTTTAATTTGTGCTTTTTGAGTATTACTAAATCCTTCTCCACCCTGAAGACAGGGAAATCTTATATTTTCCTTCGAAAATCTTGGAAGTTTTGCTTTTTACGAAAAAAAAAAGGTCAGGTCTTTGATTTAGCTTGAATTGTGTATTTGTGTGGAGTGTGTGGTGTGAGGTAGAGGCTCATTTAATTTTTTCCAGATGGGTAGCCAGTTGTTCCAGCCCTGGTTTTCTCCGCTGCTTATTTTCCACATATGTTTATAGCAAATGTGCACGCCTTTGTTATTCAGAACTAAGAGTTTTCTTGCAAATGTAAATTTATGTATTTGCTTTATTTACCACCTTTATTTCAAAGAGCACTTTCTCTCATAAGAATATTACTTTATCTTTAATAAAATTATTTGAAAGTGTTTTGTTTTTTTTAAGATTTATTTATTTATTTATATTTTGACAGAGAGACAGTGAGAGAGGGAACACAAGCAGGGGGAGTAGGAGAGGGAGAAGCAGGCTTCCTGTGGAGCAGGGAGCCCGATGCGGGGCTCGATCCCAGGACCCTGGGATCATGACCTGAGCCGAAGGCAGACGTTTAACGACTGAGCAACCCAGGTGCCCTTGAAAGTTTTTGAGAACGTTATCCTTGCACAATGATTTCTTTGAGTAAGAAAGGGTACAGAGTGAAAAGTAAGCCTCCCAGTGCTCAAACTGCCAATTCCCTGTCAGAAGCAATCACGATTACTAATTCTTTTTTTTTTCCCAGAGTTGCTTTATGTAGCTACAGCTCATAATATATATAAAATACCCTCCCCACTTTATACAAATGGTGGCATATACCATATAAGTTTGGTGTCTTGCTTTATTCCCTTTTTTTAAAGATTTTATTTATTTGATAGAGAGAGACACTGCAAGAGAGGGAACACAAGCGGGGAGTGGAAGAGGGAGAAGCAGGCTTCCCGCCGAGCAGGGAGCCCGATGCGGGGCTCGATCCCAGGACCCTGGGATCATGACCTGAACTGAAGGCAGACACTGAACGACTGAGCCACCCAGGCGCCCCTTGCTTTATTCTCTTAATAATATTATCTCAAGATCATTTTCTACCATATGTGAAAATGCTTCTGTATTTTTGTTTGAAGCTGCATACCGTTGCATTGTTTGGAGCTACCATAATTTATTAAACCAGTCCCCTTCTGTAGGATATGTCAGCGTTTCTCATCTTGTGCTGTTGGAGGTGGTGAATAACCCTGTACGTAGGTCACTGTGCATGTGGGCCCTGTAACTGTAGACTGTTCTTTACTCTCCTTTGACATTTGTCTTTGGACTTTGCTTATGGTAGTTTTTGCCATGCGTGGTTTTCAGTGCACTCACATTTGTCCATATTTCCTTCCTTGATTCATGGGTTTGTGATGGAGACTAGAACTTTTAAGAACCTCCGGTGTTGTACAAAAAAATTATTTGAAAGTTTTCTTCCCCAGGATGTTGTTAACAGTGATCACCACCTTAAAAGAGTCAACTTGAGGCAGTAGATCTCAGTGGCACCACTGAAGGCTCTTTTTCCGCCATGTTCCCTAGTGGTTTGCTTATACGCTGAATCTCATCCAAAGATGGTATAGACTCCCCCCGCCCCAACATTTTAAAAATTTCAGACATACACAAAAGTTGAGAGTTTGACAGAGAACACCCATATACCCATCACCTAGATTCTGGAATTACCATTTTGCTATATCTGTTTCATCGTGTAGCTGTAATGGTATACCCACATGTCATTAATTCACATCTCTGTAATTAATGTGAATTGGTAGCAGCTGAGGAAAACTTGTCCCGGCATGACAGACCCTGTCCAGAGGAGAGATTTCCTGTTTGTTTTTCTGATGATTTTCAAGAAAAGGACAGAATTATTTTCTGTTGGGAATCTCAAGCTCTTGGTTTTGTATGTTTACTTCAGATTCTGTTTAGAAATTAGATATTTTGCCTGGATAGTAAAGCTGAGAATTCCACCTAGTGCGAAATTCAGCCCCAATTTCTGATGGAGTTGATGTAATTTTACATATTTATGTGATTTTAAACAATGAGCATAATTTAGTGATTTTTGGCATCAGAAGGCACATGTAGATCTTTCTATGCTTTGGGGATGTGATTAGGATCTTTTCCATCATTGTTCTGTATAAAATGTGGGAATCAGAGTTCACCCTGTTGAATGCTCAGTAACAGTGATTAATGTATCACAGCCTTCATACGTACACATAAAAATCAGTGTATATTAACCCGTTTCCTTTATAGAAACTGTTGGCTGTTCTATTGTGTAGGCATGTGGGATTTGGAGGTCAAAAAGTATTTAAATGTTAACAGTATTAGCATTTGTCCCTACCAAAATGTCCTCCTGGCTTAAAATTCCACAAGTGCACAATAGAGTTGGGATATTAACACAAATTATCACCCCCCCGACACTTACATTAGAGCAAAAAATTCAAGATTAATATCTGTTTTTAACTTTTAAATCTTTTTTAAAAGATAGCCTTGTAAAAGGAATGTCTGGGGTGCCTGGATGGCTCCTTCGGTTGAGCATCCAACTCTTGATTTCAGCTCAGGTCATGATCTAAGGGTCATGAGATTGAGTCCCATGTCAGGCTCCACGCTCAGTGGAGAGTCTGCTGGAGATTCTCTCTCTCCCTTCTCCCTCTGCCCCTCCTCCCACACTTGCTCACTTTCTCTCTCTCTAAAATAAAAATAAGTAATCTTAAAAAGAAATGTCTGTAGTAACACAACTTTTTAAATTAAAAATAATATGAATGCTGGGGTACCTTCCTGGCTCAGTCTGTAGAGCATGCAACTCTTGATCTCGGGGTTTTGGGTTTGAGTCCCATGTCGGGTATAGAGATTACTTAAAAATAGAATCTTAAAGGAGCACCTGGGTGGCTCAGTTGGTTAAGTGTCTGCCTTCGGCTCAGGTGGTGATCTTGGGGTTCTGGGATTGAGCCCCATGTCAGGTTTCCTGCTCAGCGGGGGGTCTGATTCTCCCTCTTCCTCTGCCCCACCCCCCACTCATTCATGCTCTCTCTCTCTCTCTCAGATAAGTAAAATCTTTAATAATAATATGAATGCTATTTTGAGAGATATTCCCTACTATTTTTTTTTCTTGAATTTTTATCTGACTTCTGCTCCAGTCAGGAGTTTTAAGTAATTTTGCCAGAAAGTGTGTCTTCAGACATTTTTTTTTTCACCTTTCCTTTTCAGTGAAATATTAAAATACCCCAGACTTGGAAGAGCCATCATCCGGCAGGGCTTCCAGTGGTGACCGGATACTCCTCACAGTGTCTTCGGGGGGACAGCCCTCCTTCCTCCCATGGGCGGAGTGCTCGAGGGCGCCACTCTCTTCCCTAGTCCCTTTGGTACCCTTTCCCTCCTGGCTTTGGAGACTAGACCCGTTGGGTGGGTGGGCGGAGAGCAGGTGTCTGGTGCGATATACCATTTTGACTTACTATTTCTTTTTGTGGGGAGGCAGAGGGAGAGGGAGAGAAAGAATCTTAAGTAGGCTCCACACCCATCACAGAGCCCGATGTGGGGCTCGATCTCACAACCCTGAGATCGTGACCTGAGCCAAAATCCAGAGTCGGACGCTTAACTGACTGAGCCACCCAGGCACCTCATGTACTGTTTGACTTATGAGCAGATGATGATTGTGAAAAATATCCAAACAATTCCAAATAATAAAAGGTAACATTTATTAAGCACTTACTATATGTTTCAAGTGCTGGGCTTTAATGTTTTACATGCATTTTCTTCATTTATTCCTTACACCATGTGGAATGTACTCCCTTCTGCAGATGAGTAAATTGAGGCACACAGAGGTTATCTAACTGTCCTAGGGAGCAGCTGGTAAGTGGCACAGAGGGGCTCAGATCAAGGCGACCTGAGTCAGTGTCAGAACTGAGCATTTCCCCTCTCGCTTCCCAACTGGCTTTGTGTGTATTTTGTTGGCCTTGACGAAATATACCTTATATATTTTATAAAGTAAAGTGTATTTTCTGAAAATGAGATCAGACTCTAAATTTCGTTCAGCTACCCCTTTTCCCTCCTCAAGACGTTAGGAGTTATTTTTGTTATCAGCATATATGAAAATCTCATGTTGTGAAAACTGCTAAGTATTCTGTTGTCTGGTCCTCTGGCACCAAGAATGTGTGCCTTTGTGGGTATTAGCATGTGGCCTTCCCAGAATGCCCTCCCAAAGTCTGCACTCCCCACAGGGAGCGAGAGAACCCATTCTCATTGTCCGTCTTTGTTAATCAGTTTACTTGAGATTCGATAAATAAGAATTGGTGTGGTTGGTGAACAGTTCGGTTTTCTTCCAGAAGGCTCTGCCAGGTGCTTCCACAGCTGCATCCCAGTAGCACAGCTGTTGGCCTTGTGTTCTTGACTGTCAAGTAGCAGCTTGACGAAACAGTCTTGTGTCCCCAGCTTTCCAGGCAAAGTGGGAAATAAGGGGAAAGTCCCAGGGCCAGACAGAGGCAGGCCCCCAGCAAGCACCCAGTGACTGGGGCCTAACAATAACCACCCTTTCTCCCCGCAGGAGTGCTACCTGGAGAGTGACCAGACGAGCCTCTACCACGCAGCCAAGGGGCTGATGACCCTGCAGGCTCTGTATGGGACAATCCCCCAGATCTTTGGGAAAGGAGAGTGTGCCAGGGTAAGAACTGGTGCATGTTTCTGGGGTGAAGGAAGGGGTGCCCTGGTACCCAAAAGGGGAGCAATAAGAAGCTATTTAGAAACAAGTACAGTCAATCCTATTTATGTGTGAATTCACCTAATTGCTGAAATGTACTTATAACCCCCAAATCGATACTTGGAGTGTTTGCGGACATGTCAAGAGCGGCAAAAAATTTGAGCTGCCCGCTGTGCACCTTCCCAGCTGATGTCCAGTACAGCAATGCTCTGCCTTCTTGTTTTGGCTCTCAGGCGGTAAACAGGTGTCCTTCCTGCCACTGTGTAGGGCCATGCACTACCTAACACCACGTTTTTTGCATTTTGGCGCTTTCTCTTGGTGATTTTACTGTTTCACGTGGCCCCAAGGGTGGTCCTGAAGCACTGCCCGTGTTCCTGAGCTCAGGAAGGTTGTGATGGGCCTTACCGAGAGAATACCGTGTTGCCTCAGCTTCCCTCAGGTGTGAGTGATGGTGCTGTTGGCAGTGAGTTCATTGTTGGTGAATCAACAAGCTATAGGAAATAAAGTGTCTTTAAATAGAAACACGTAAAACAAGGTTACACATTGATTATTTGATAAAAATCTGACCAGAGGCTCACAGAAACCTAACCCCGTATTTGCCCTACAGCGGTGGCTCAGCACTGGCCAAGTCCGTGCTCATGGCGACTTTGCAGGAGTCCCTCCAATAACGAGAACAGACTGCAGCCGAGTTCTCGTGCCTCGCTGAGTAGTGGCTGCCATCAGCGCACATGCGTGTGTGGGAGTGGGTGGCCAACACAGACGCTTTTCTCTAACTGCTTATTTCTGATCAATCTCAGTCTTCCACAGTTTCTCTCCTTTTTAAATTTTTTGATTGTCTTTCTGTTTTTAGCTACATTTTAAACTCTGCTACTTCCCAGAAAAGTCCCACCTGATCCAATGTTTTTTTTCCAGCAAGTGGCCAATATGATGATCAGGATGAAGAGAGAATTTACAGGAAGCCAAAATTCAATATTTCCTGTTTTTGATAATCTCTTGTTGCTCGATCGAAACGTTGACTTATTAACGCCTCTTGCCACTCAGCTTACATATGAAGGACTCATTGATGAAATTTATGGCATTCAGAACAGTAAGTAAAGTGACATCTGTGTTTCCTGAAAGTCATTGGATAGAAATTGCCAAAAGGTCATTTTTTTTTTTTTTTGGAGATGCTTTCTTAAATTAGAGGATATTTGAGAAAATACAATACTGACTTCTGGTTTTCAGACACCAGATTAAACAAAGTCCAAGCAAAAACTGCTGTTGTCGGTCCCACGAAGGCTGGCCAGATGCTTAGTGTGCAGGACTCTGCTTGTCCCCATGAGCAGTGGCCCTGGGTTAGATGCAGGTGGCACTGCAGTTTGGAGAATGCAGACCCTCGTGGCTGGCGGTTGTTGGGAACGCTTGTTGGAGAGGTGGCATTTGCACTGGGTTTGGGGAGGGGTAGGTGTAGAGGGCCACGGTGAGGGGCAGGCTGCATCACAGACACACGGATGCTGCTGTGGACATTGCAGTGGGGCGTATCCAGGGAAGGGCCGACACTTGAGGTTGGGGACACAGGATGGAAGATGGGGGAGGCCTCCTAGCGTTTAGGTGTGACAGGTCATTAGGTCAAAGTTCACAAACATGTTGGTTTGGTTTTGGAAATGTTTAATAATAGTCCTGATGTATTTCTTTATGATCAAATTGTACTTTGATCATGGAAAAATCAAAACCTTAGTATTATATGCCATTGTTTCCTAAAGCTGGCTTACTTCTCTCCTGAGTTGGAAAATCCTGTTTTGTGCCTGGCACTTTGATCCGTTCTTCCAGTAAAGGCACACAGGTGCTTGTTCCCTTCCACTGTCATTCAGGTTATGTGAAATTACCTCCGGAGAAATTTGTACCGAAGAAGCAGGGCGATGCTGGGAAGGATCTCCCCACGGAAGCAAAGAAGCTTCAGCTGAATTCTGCAGAGGAGCTCTATGCTGAGATCCGAGACAAAAACTTCAACGCGGTGGGCTCCGTGCTTAGCAAGAAAGCAAAAGTGATCTCCGCGGCGTTTGAGGTGAGGCGCTTTGGCTGTGTCTTGCTGCAGCTCTGGGTCACAGGCTAGACTGCCCCCCCTCCCCCAGGAGCCTCTGGGCTTCAGTGCAAGTGCACATTTCTCTCCTTTTGGAACTCGTTCCCAGGCCCCATGACAGAAGGTGTAAGTTGGCTCCTTTTTTTGCAGGGTGGCGGGAGCAGTGTTTGCGGTTTATAGGCTTTCATTAGAAATATTTGTTTTGCCTTTTCCTTTTTCATTATTTCCTGCCTCACTCAAGAGGAAGCTGGCTGTACTATAAATAAAAGATCCTCTAGAATAGAACTTGCGGTTTGGGGTGAAAGCTCTAAGTTTAGCCAGCCTGCCGGTGGTGGCGGAGCCCCGCTGATGCGGTAGGTGACAATGCGAGAGGCGCTTCATTATCACCTCTTGCCTCCTCTTGCCCGGGTGCTTGTTTACTCTTGGGTGAACTCATTTTGGAAACAGGGAAATTCAGTAAGCTGATAAACTCTGAATATTTAGACTTTGGAAATGTAAACTGGGAGAGTTTTTGAAAACTAATGTTGCACCGAGTGTGTATTTCTAGATTTCATCTTTCTGAGGGATTATATTCATTCATTGATTTTCACATTTCTGAAGTTACATTTGGTTTACATGATTCAGTTTTGCAAAAAAAAAAAAGATCCCATCACTAAGCGAGGTTCACTTTGTGGACAATATTCACGATTGAGATTGAGCAGTAAGAATGCGTTGTTGTTTTTTTATTATAGAGGACACTTTTTGCTGTTTACATTCCCCTCTTAACATAATGTTTTTGTTTTTTATTCAGAAGTATTTCTGGGTAACCTAATAGTGCCCCCACAAATACTCAGATGCCCCCAAATACTAATCACGATAGGAACCCGGGCATAGGAGGAGAAAACCTCACATGTTTGCTCTCTGAAGAACTAACACAGTAATCAGCCACCATGAACTCATCTTCTCTGTTTTTCTTGTAATGGCGGAGCTGGATTTGGCCTGATTTATTTGTATTCCATTCTTTTTTCCACTTTGATACAAATTATACATCCTGTGAGCAACACACAGAGCAGAGCACTTAAAAATAAAATACCTTCGGGGCACCTGGGTGACTCAGTCAGTTGAGCGTCTGCCTTCGGCTCAGATCGTGGTCCCGGAGTTCCAGGATCAAACCCAAAGTCGGGCTCCCGGCTCAATGGGGAGCCTGCTTCTCCCTCTCCCTCTGCCCCTCTGCCCTGCTCGTGCTCGCTCTCGCTCTCTCTAAAGTAAATAAATAATATCTTGAAAAAGAAGCAGAATAATTCTAAAAATAAATTAATAAATAAAATAAAATATCTCCCCTGCTTGATGGGTCTGCCATTTCCCCCATTTCAGGAGAGGCACAACGCTAAGACGGTTGGGGAGATCAAGCAGTTTGTTTCCCAGCTGCCCCACATGCAGGCAGCAAGAGGCTCACTTGCAAACCACACCTCGATTGCTGAGTTAATAAAAGATGTTACCAGTGAGTATCCTTTGGAGTGATGATTTTCATCAGGGCTGACTTGCATGCACACTCCGATGCCGGGGTCACGGGCACCGTGATATCTCCTTGGGAAAGACAGCTCTATTTGAACATTGTTTGTCATTCTCAGTGTTAATTAAGTGCATGCATGTTCATAGTTAAATGTGTTTCATTTGTGGTTAACTCACTTTTTCCCCGTTATTAATATAATCCTAAGACAAGATATTTGGAATAGTGATAAGAGAAAAAAACTCTTCTGTAAGTTTGCCACCATAATGAGGCTCTTTTTTTATCTGTTTTTTCCCCTCTTGTTAAGGGTTCATCAGAGCACTGTGATGTTTCTGCTTTTGTTTTTGTTTTTCCCTTGAAAAATTCCTGCAGAATTGGTAGAGAGATCACATGTTGAGTATTTTGAAAGAGCTCAGAAGATGTGTGTTAAATCAAAGACGAGTTTATTCATAAAACTTGGGTGCCGTGTATTTTGAAGTCTACTTTGAATCTGAAGTAAAGCTTGGTGTTGGAAAATCAGTCCTTTGTTTTCCTGTTAATAGGAAGCAGTTAAAATGGGGTTGAATTTGATGATGATAGTGAAGTGCTAGGGAGATTAGCTTTCCCTGGTACCAAGGCTAAATTCTTGGGATCTGTGTTAAGTCCTAAGGACAACAAAGGGGTACAGTGCTGCATGCCGATGTAATTTAGGAGCACAGGGTTGTAGGGTTTTCCATGTTTTAGAAGATTGTTTTCAGATGACAGTTTGAGCCTTTTGCTTGCTTGTGTTTTTGCGTGTCGTTTCTTAATTATCTTCTGTGTAGAAAAGCACACTGCTCAAATCAACATTTATTTAATTTCTAAGTTGCAAATTTGCTAATTACATTTTAGCTTCTGAAGACTTCTTTGATAAACTAACAGTGGAGCAGGAGTTTATGTCTGGAATAGACACCGATAAGGTATGTGAACAGTAAAACCAACAAATCATTGGTGATTTGTCAAACGTCAGATTATACCTAGAAAAGCAACCGTGTTGATTCCCATGCGTTGCCGAGGCATTTTTGAGAGCAAGTGCAAAATGTGGAAGTCCACATTTCTCCAAGTCATGGGTAGTTAGCATTGCTCTGTGCAAGGCGCTTTCCAGCCCCTGCAACCAACCATCTTTAAGGCCTGTCGTAGATAAATGAAGATACTGCTTTCTGAGGGAACTGCTCATATAATTCCTGTAAATACCCACCTCTATTAATACATTTAAAATTATGCAATTTCTGGAAATTCCTATTTTCTAGAAAATCGCCTATTTCCCAACAAAGTTCCTATTACTTTGCGGCCAATAAATCGCTTCTGTTATTGAGACAGACACTGTCACAGACACCCCAGACATTCAAGAACCTCTCAGAAGGCTGTCTGCTGTGTTCATACAGGTGGTTGCATTGCCTGAGTGTGTCCTCCACTTTGAAAAATAATCGTAAATACCAAGTTTGTTAGGCCCCCAAACTGGATGCTGGGATACATACCTATATATTTTGTTTCCAGGTCAATAGTTACATTGAAGACTGTATTGCCCAAAAGCACCCGCTGATCAAGGTGTTAAGATTGGTTTGCCTCCAGTCTGTGTGCAATAGTGGACTCAAACAAAAAGTTCTGGATTATTACAAAAGAGAAATTCTCCAGGTCAGTAGATTTCAAATTACTAATTTACCAAAGGAGAAAACATCTTTTTAACAAAGTACAGCTTAAAGCTCCTATTTTGGTATATTGTTTCCACTGTCTTAAATTTTTTTAACACCTAGAGGGGGTTGTCCTTGGTATTGATCATGGTTTACTGTGTTTGCATGATAATAACACTTAATGTTTATTGAGCATTTACTATGTACCAGGCTCTAGTGAAAGAGCTTTAATGTATTCTTTGTTTAATCCTCACTACAGCCCTGTGAATTAGATACTGTTATCATCCCTATTTTATGAATGAAAAAACTGAGGCACAGGGTCGTTTTGTAACTTGCCCATGGTCACCTGGCTAGTGAGTGGCAGAGCCAGTGCCAAAACCCAGGGATCTGGGGTCTGGTGCCCTTGCTCTTAACCAGATTGCATTTGATGGAGGAGGGGACCTTTTTGCAAATTTTCTGATGATAATCCCTTAACAGATGTACTTAAATTAAGCTTGTTTTACTTCATGATTAGGAAAAGGCCACCATTATTTAAAATATTCTCCCCTCTGTTGGAAAATGTCTCAGGTAGTATTTACTTGCTACCACCAGCCATAGTTAAGTACGTTGTTATTAAAACTAAATGCTCAAATTTTTTTTTGGTATTATCTTTTAAAAAATTACATAGGAAACACATGCATTCTCATCATATAAGATTCAAATAAGGTGAAGCATCTGGAGCAACATGTGATCCTTCCTGCACCTCACTCACACCCCCATTGCCCTACCCAAATAGGACCAATGGCAACAGTTTGGTCTGTGTGCTTCCAGACTCCCTTGTTTGCGTTTACAGACAAAGAATATTCACATTCACAGGCTCTGGGGTAAGACCGGCTAGATCCATGTCCCAGCTCTGTTACTAAGTAGCTGTGTGACCTTGGGCAAGTTATTTAAACTTCTCTGTAAAATGGAGATAGTAATACCACCTAGCACGTTGGGTTATAATAAAGAGACTGAGTTAATGCACGTATGACAGGCTTACAACAGAACACTGCCCCCCCCCACAGAAAGTGTTATGTAAGTGTTGGCTATTACTATTATTATTTACTGTATCTTTTTATTTTTATTTATTAAAGATTTTTAAAAATTTATTTGAGAGAGAGCACAAGTAGGGGGAGTGGCAGGCAGAGGGAGAGGGAGAAGAAGGCTCCCTGAGGAGCAGGGAGCCCAATGCAGGGCCCGATCCCAGGTCCCCAGGATCATGACCCGAGCCGAAGGGAGTTGCCCAACCAACTGAGCCACCCAGGAGCCCCTACTGTATCTTTTTAAAAATAGAAATAAAATCCTACTGTATAAAGTATTCTGTTACAATCTTTTTTGTCCTTAAGAATATATCCAGGGGCACCTGGGTGGTGTAGCCGGTTGCGCATCCAGCTCTTGGTTTCAGTTCAGGGTGTGATCTCAGGTTCATGAGATGGAGCCCCACGTGGGGCTCCATACTCAGCGGGGAGTCTGCTTGAAATGCTCCCTCTCCCTCTGCCACTTCCCCTGCTCGCGTACACACACACACACCCCCTCTCTCTTTTTCAAATAAATTCTTAAAAAAAAAAAAGAATATATCTAAATCTTTCTTATCGGAATGTATAGATCTGCCTCATTCTTTTTTTTTTTAAGTATCAAAATATATCCCATATAAAATATATATTAATTTATTTGATGCTCACTTAAGTTGGGTCCATAAATTCTGACTTTAAAGTAAAAACTGTAGGGGTGCTGGCTGGCTCAGTTGGTTAAGCGGCTGCCTTCAGCTCAGGTCATGATCCCAGGGTCCTGGAATCGAGCCCTGTATCAGGCTCCTTGCTCAGCGGGGAGCCCGCTTCTCCCTCTGCCTCTGCCTCTCCCCCTGCTTGTACTCTCTCTCTCTGACAAATAAATAAATAAAATCTTTAAAAAAAATAATAAAGTAAAAACTGTAAATCGGTCTTTGAAGCAGCGAGCTGGGTTAATTGTAATGGTCAGGCCCGTCTCATCCTCCATGCTGCCCCTGTGTCCATAGACGGTCATTCCGTGGATTTGGGTAACGTGCCCCACAGTACACACTAAGTCCATTTGTTGGAAGTGCTCTTTTTAGAAAGTGGCAGAAACACTTCCTGTTTTGACATCAATCCGAACGGCTTGTCTTGCAGACATATGGCTATGAGCACATATTGACCTTGTACAACCTAGAGAAGGCTGGCCTGCTGAAACCACAGACGGGGGGCAGAAACAATTACCCAACAATCCGGAAAACGCTACGCCTCTGGATGGATGATGTGAACGAACAGGTGAGACACACCCCTCCACTTCAACTCAGTTTACCTCTACTGGTTAATGGTTTATCGTGGCCACCTAGCCTACTTGATTTATACATCCACCTTGCCCTTTCTAGGACAGTTTTCTAATGTTTTTTAGAAAGTAATGCATTCACGTACCCTATCTGCCAGAATCCCAGCAGGGAACAAAGGGCGCTCTGACGCTGGGGAATTTGAGGGGAGTTTCTGAAGATGTGGGCAGGGTGGGAGCCGGCAAAAGGCCTGCAGTGGGGATTCCTTACCAGCCTGGGCCCGAGGGCAAGGAGAGGGAACTGTTGCAGAAACCTGTTCCAGAACTTGAAGACAAGAGCTGTGTGGAGAGGCCATCTGACAAGACAAGGGATGAGAGGCCTCTGGTGGAGAGACACAGCCAGCCTCCAGCAGTGTCACAGGAAGCTGGGGCCGTAAACCCCTGACCTCACATGCTGCCCACTCTCCAGGTTCCATCTGGTGCCTCCCATTGGCCAAACCCAAAGAGGGCATGCGAGCACATTGGCATAGAGCCTACAGGTTCGCCTCCTGGACACAGAGCACGGGGAGGGAGGTGGTGGTGGTGGTGAAGGATCTGGAAAATGTCCAGCACGTGTGGTAGAAATGTCGGCCATACAAAAATAAGGCAAACAGTGAAAAGTCAGGTTCCCTCCACATCTCACCCTGGTTTTCCCTCAGAAGGAACCACTGTAACCAGTGTTTTTAATCTATCCTTCCAGGAAGATTCTGTGTATCTGGAGACCTTTTAACATAAATGATGCATATTTTATACCATTGGCTTCCAAAGTAGAGTGTACTTTGCCTTACATTTATTGTTGAGTCCAGTTTTTCTAAATTTCTTTTTCTTATTTTCTTTTTTAGACTTTCATAGGAACTTTATCAGGCTGCCTCCTGCAACAAAAGCTAATAATTAAAAAGTCTTCTCCACCAGGGGCAAAATCAGATTATCTTCCCCCCAGGGGTGGAATATAGATACTCTTAATTTCTATGTTGTACAGGGTAAACAGTATACTAGTTCTCTTCCCTGTTCTGACCTGCCTCTCCCCACCCACCCCAACCACCACTTAACACTGTATCTTAAAGATCCCTCTGTGATCTACCTCATTCTTTTTTGTAAGTTTTTTTTTTTAATTGCTACATAGTGGTTTTGCAGATAAACCTTAATTTATGATTAACAGATTTCTCTTGATAGAAATTCAGGTTGTTTCCAGTCTTTTGCTAGAACAGACGGAGTTGCGGCTAATACATCTGGGCTTTGATCTATTCTGGTGGACAAGCCCCTCTGTAGGAGAAATGCCTGGAAGTCGAATGACTGAGTTCAAGGGATACGCACGTTGTTGCTCAGCTAGAGAGTGCTGGGTTTCCCTCCAAGAAGTTTCTTGCCAAAGCAAATAACAGCATTTCATGGTCAGTACCTAGAGATGCTTTGAGTGGCTTTTGCAAGATCTGAGCTGAAAGCGAACCTCAGGCAGCTAAGAATCAGGCCAAGCTGGGGTGGATTGGAGCAGGACGTTGCTGGAGTTTGTGTTTCTACCTTCAAAGCCAAATCACATAATTTTGGGTTACGCAAAAGGCCGCTGTTCAGTGGCTCTACATCTCTATATCTACAGACTTTTTCCCCTTTAATTATTTAACAGAATCCCACAGACATATCGTATGTGTACAGTGGTTATGCCCCTCTCAGCGTGCGGCTGGCACAGCTGCTCTCACGGCCTGGCTGGCGCAGTATTGAGGAAGTTCTCCGCATACTCCCAGGGCCCCACTTTGAAGAACGGCAGCCGTTGCCCACGGGACTGCAAAAGAAACGTAAGTCGGTGGCCAGGATCTATAGCAGTTACACACTGCTGCTGTGGTTTTCGTGGACTGTGCAGTTGCTTTGTAAAGTACATTTGTAAGGTGCGCAGGACTCAGAGTCCAGTACACCTCTTTTCTTAGTTGCCAATGTATAGTGTAAGCACTAGAACCCATCATTTCCTCAGGAGTAGCAGCTTTCAACCTCTGAGTTGAGATCAAAATCATGTTCCTGAGTTTCAAAGGAACTCTTTGTACGAAGACACAGTTAACTTTTTTTTCCTTATATATGATGCCATGTTTGTTTTTAAGATTTATTTATTTATTTTAGAGAGAGAGGGAGAGTGAGCAGGGGGAGGGGCAGACGGAGAGGGAGAATCTCAGACAGACTCCCGACTGGGCTCAGAACCCAACTCAGGGCTCAATCCCAGGACCCTGAGATCATGACCTGAACTGAAGGCAGACACTTAACTGACTGAGCTACCCAGGCACCCCAGTGATGTGGTTTTTTTTTAAAGATTTATTTATTTTTAGAGAGAGAGGAAGAGAGCACATGTGCGAGAGTGAGTGGTGGGAGGGGCAGAGGGAAAGAATCTACAAGCAGACCCCTTGCTGAGCGCAGAGCCCAATGCCTGGGCTCGAACCCATGATCCATGAGATCATAACCTGAGCTGAAACCAAGAGTTGGATGCCCAACCAACTGAGCCACCCATGCGCCCCCATGATGTAGTTTTTTAAGACATGGGAAGAGAAGCACCCCTAATAAATAATTCTTAATTCTGAAATGTTTCCCTTTTAGGTCAACCAGGAGAAAACCGAGTCACTCTGATATTTTTCCTTGGGGGCGTAACCTTTGCTGAAATCGCGGCCCTGCGATTTCTCTCCCAGCTAGAAGACGGAGGTACAGAATATGTCATCGCCACCACTAAGCTAATGAATGGGGCCACCTGGATAGAGTCTCTAATGGAAAAACCTTTCTAGGCTGATCAAAGTCGACTTGAATGAACTGCAAAATAAACTCCTTTGGAGAAGCTGCCAAAAGGAAGTGAAACCCCACTGAAGAGTAACAGAAGGATACAGAATTTACTTCGGGGGTCAGCCTCTTCAATTACACTGTTTTCTCCTTTCTGCTTCTCTTTTGTGTTTCTAATTTCTTGAAGAAAAAAGAATAGAAGAGAATCCATCTGGCTAACAGAAACACCAGTTGTTAATGTTCTAAGCTCAGGGTCTTTCTTACAGACCTCTTGGAAACGTATTAAGGATGGTGGGGATGGATAGTCTTATACAGCTGCACAAATGAGGTCAGTTGTTAGGAAGGCAGAGACGGATGGGTAAAAATGAAAAGTGGAAAGTCTCACCCCTAATAAACAGTGCTTTCTTGAAGGCACATCATGCCTGGGGCAGTGGCTGGGTGTTGGGGCAAGAGCTGGTCCTGTCACTGAGTTGAGATTTCTTTTTCCTGCAGAGTATGGCACATTATATTTGGTGTCCTCAGCCTCTGTCTTAGGTGATCACTAAGGCAAGTGTTGATTCCTTCTGCTTTCAATTCCTCTGCTTCTATAAAGCAAGAGGGGTGGAGGGACTTCTTTCTCCAAATCAAAGTTCATCTGACCAGCTAAATTTCTGTGGGTCTCATACTTATCAAGGGCTTTTTTTTTTTTTTTTTTTTGGAGAGAATGAGAGAGAGCACGAGAGGGGGTTGGGTCAGAGAGAGATGCAGACTCCCCGCCAAGCAGGGAGCCTGATGCAGGACTCGATCCCGGGACTCCAGGATCATGACCCGAGCCGAAGGCAGTCGCCTAACCAACTGAGCCACCCAGGCGCCCTATCAAGGGCTTTTTACATTGAGGAACGTGAGGATTGGGGAGCAGCTTCCTGAGAATTTTCTTAGACACTATTCAAAGACACTTTCTGAGCACACGTGCTGTTCACTCCACGACGTTGCCGTGGCAGATGCCTCCACTGAGGCATCGGTTTTCTTCCCCACCCATCATGGGCCCCAGCACCAGCTGGTCCCACTGTGAGCAGCAATGACTCTTGCTTCTTCAGCATTTGGCGACACCACCTCCATGGTAACTGTCACATGTACTTCTCCACACTCAGCCTCTTGCATTTGTTTTGCTTGGAAACATATTGCTCCGTTGCAGTTCCTGGTCCGGTGACCTCAGCCTTCTCTGGGACAGCTCGTCGACGGTCTTGGTGTCCAGCAGTCGCAGCTGCTCCTGCAGGAGACGGTTAGCCTGTGGGGCAGAGGAGCAGGGTATTGGTCGAGAGTCTGGAAACCTGTGTGTGTTCCCTACCTCCCTCCTGCTCCATCCTGACATCTGGAAGTTAAATCCAAGAAGGGAACCAAATGGATGGCTTCGTGGCCCTTGCCCAAGTCCCCCCTTTGTTGGGGGATTAAGGTCAGCATCCCTCCTCAGGGGAGGTGTGGCCTCTGTTGTTTATCAGTAACCACACGTTTTATTCTCATTTTGTTTCGTGAGTGAATTTCTGGTAGCACATTGCATGCTATGAGTGAAAGAGAAATTCTACAATCAAAAAAAGTTTTCTTTAAGAGTGAGGAGTAGAAGAGGTCATATTTAAGAGATCTTCTCATGCATTCAGTTTGGCCTTGACATTCAATATTTAGAAAACAGTCTTTAAAACTATGCTTATTTTAGAAAATCTTTTTTCAAATACTTGTTATCCCAGGGAGATTAGTTTATACCTTCCAGCCCCAGCTGTTGTCAGCCTCAGCCGCCTTAGAGAATGAAATCCACCTTGTCCTTCAATGTTTTGGCTCATGGGATTCAATTCAAGTCTGGTCAGGTCTCCTTGGCTGGGGTTTTTGTCCTACGAACAGATACTCAGTTGTGTCTCATGTGTCTACATTCACTTCTGAGTTTATTCTTGCTTGCTCAGAGCATAGTTAGGTCAGCTCCTAAAATGCATTTAGCAGAAGACTTAACATCAATTGCTTCATTTGTATGCAAATAGAAAGTGGTGGATAATTGTATATTATACGCCTTTGTGTAAGTTCACTTAATACTTGAAGCAGCCTTTGTCTCAAAGGAGTGTGCCCTTACTGAGAAAGGGTATGTGAATGGTACATTTATTCCTAGAGAGGGCGGATTGTTTACATCATGTCTGGACTTTTGTCTACTTAGGTAGGCAGTTCTGCCACACCAGCAACTCCATAAAAAAGTCTATGTAGATAAAGAAGTCTGCATAGGCACTGTTCTGTGTCTTACTATACACTTTTGAATTTAGCCAACAGAGAAGTATTTGAATTGTAGTTTAACTGTAGAGCAAGAGAATACAGGCATATCGAGAGATATTGTGGCTTTGGTTCCAGACCACCCCGATAAAGTGAATGTTGCAATAAAGCGAGTCAAATGCATGTTTTGATTTCCCAGTGCATATAAAAATTATGTTTACACTATCCTGTAGTCTCTTAAGTGTGCAATAGCATTGTGTCTAAAAAAATGTATATTCCTTAAAGAATATGGCTAAAAAATGCTAACCATCACCTGAGCTTTCAGTGAATTGTAATCACTGATCACAGACCACCGTAATGAATATAATAATAATGGAAAAGTTTGAGATACGAGAATTACCAAAATGTGACAAAGTAAGCAAGCGCTGTTGGGAAAACAGCGCTAACAGACTTGTTCAACACAGGGTTGCCACAAACCTTTAATCTTTAAAAACCGCACTGTCTGCAAAGTGCAGTAAGATGAGGTGTGTCTATAATGGTTAAAAGGAGGAAGATTAAAAGTAGCACATTCAGTTCTTAAAGAGCACTGGGAAGGGATTGGGCAGTCTCGCCCTGCCCTCACTAGAAATGGATTACAGTTAACCGTGACATGCTGGTCCATCTCTTGTTCTCAGTTGTACGTTAAAGACTGGCCTGTCACCAGGAGGAAGTGTTTGTGTTCAGCAGAAATTCAAGAAGAAATACTTTTTAAAAAAAACTACCAAATGAACTGAGTGTCTAAAGCAGCTAGGAAGAGGGACTGTTGTAAGGATGGCAAGGCGTAGAAATGCAGCATCATGTAGAGTGAATCATGGAGAGATGGAATTGTACTCTAAAGCCAGGTGTGTTATACAGTCATAGGCTTAATGACCTGCTACAGAAAATAGAGGGTGCCTTTTTATCAAAGGCAAATAATGTAAACTTTCTCAGTTGCTCTTATTTCTAAATGAACACCTGTGAATTTTAAGCCACATAATGTTTCTTAGCTTCAGTTACCGCATGGTGACTAGAGCCTGCAGAGGCTGGAATACCTAACTGCCCCGAGACATCCATTTGAAGGACGTGGGAGTGAAAGCCAACCGAACTGAGCCTACTTTAATAGCCTCTCTTCTTCATCTGTTGCTCTGGGGTGGGGTGAGGGTATAAATCTTAGCCATACTTTCTTTCCTGTGACTAGGCAGGACATAGAAGCCCTTCAGATGACCAATTCTCTGGGGGAGCAATTACTACTCACTGGCTTCCTGAGCAGCTTGATAATGTTCTGCTCCTGTTTTCAGCAGGGCTGCGGCCGGGGCAATGATTTGATAATAACAGACCCTGATTAAATTAAGGAGCCATTTGCTTCTGGATGATGATGTTGATAAAAAAGGGTTGATGTCCACACTCCCTGCTGTTTTAAAGGTCAAAACAAAACAAAACAAAAAAACCCAGTCTTTAACCACAAACTACAACAAAAAGCAAAGTAATCAGTAACAGCATAAAGTTTGTGCTTTTTCTTCATTGTTACATCTGGGAAAGGGTCTGTTCTTTATTTGCTGAAATCCTAACTGGCCCTTTTTGCATCACGCTTGGAAGTTGAAATTGGAAGTGGGCTCATTGGGAAGGTGACCGTACAGTGTGTCTCTAAACTGCTAAACTCTCGGAATCAAGCACTCAGGAGCTCTTGGTTTTCTAAGCTCCTGTTTCTCACATACATACATGCATGCTCACACGTACATGTTTTTTAAGATAAAAGCCCGTGCTGTAGTTGGACAGTCATAAGTGAAAGTCATTTGTATAATGGTTCTTCTAGTCTGAGACTCAGAGTAGGATGGGGCTCCTCAATGTGAGCTTGTTAGAAAAGGATTTGGACTGTATCCCACCTGCAGTGTTGAGAAAAGCAATACAAGAAGGGGCATGAAAAATCCCCTAGTGTACCACTTGCTTAGCCCCTCTGAGTCAAGAGCTTTGCAGGCATTCTTAAGAGCCTGTGGGCTATGGTGGTGAAACAGGCAGGGTTGCCAGTGCCCCGCCTGGCCTGGGATGGGCTGTGCGCAGCTCCCTGATTGCTCAGGGACCACGTGGAGACTGTGATTGGTCTCTAGACCACACCTAGTTGGTGAGTGCAGCTGCTGCCCCACAGCTCTGCCGAGATCGCTGGAGTACGCACACGCCTACCTCAGACACCAGACCGGGAGAGGAACCGTGGAGCTGCTGCAGCAGAGGAGTCGTGGAAACTTTGCTGAGTGAGTGAAATGGGGAGAGAAGGAAGCTAGTGGCTGGCCCTGAGGGAAGTTGCTGGACAGGACAGCAATGAAGAGAACAGATTGTTGCCTTGAGATTCCGTCTGTGGGGGAAGATAGCAGGACTGGAGCAGGTGCACAGGAGCACAGTGGGGAGAGAGAAGCCCAGAATCAAATTGATACCCACCTCTTGGCACTCCTGCAATACTGGCTCCCCACAAGGGCAAGCGTGCTGGACCATAAAGCAAACATTTTTCAAACTCTGCATGTTGTCAAGCTTTGGAGTCCAGGGAATTGCAGAGGGGCTTCAGTGAGGGCCTGCTGTCTTCTCCCACCTGAATGGGTCTCTCCTGTTCCCTTCCCAGGCAGCACTGACAGCTGGGGCTGCAGCTTGAGTGATGGGAAAAGAAAGCCTTACTCCACCAGGCCATTAGCAGCACTCACAGCATTAAAAATGCAGGAGGTGGATGGGAGGAGAGAGGGCCAGGGAGGAAGACTAATGCAGCAGCTGAGGCTGGGAAGAGACAGGCTTCTCTCTCCTCAGAACCCAGCTCCAGATTAGGAGCCAAAGAATGAGGGGAACTTTTGGTTTAAAAGACTTCTATGGTGTAAATGCAAAGAGGGCGTCCAGCTGGTTGTTAGGGAGAAAATCAGTACTTTGGGCTTCCTTAACCTTAGGACAGCGTGTTTACTCTTTTGAGGGCCAGGACCTAGCCTAGCTTCTTCCTGTGTCCACACTGCCTACAGCACTCCTGGCTCAGCAGCGCAGGCTTGGTGGGTGGGCTTCCGGGGGACCGTCCTCTTTGCGCGCTCAGGGACTCCCGAGTGCCCCTGCCCCGCAGGTCCTCGGGCCTCCCGCGCACGGCGATGCCGGCCTCGTCCACCATCCACGTGCTGCAGCTGCTGCGAGAGCTGCTGGCCTTCGTGCTCCTCAGCTACACGGTGCTCATCGGGGCGCTCCTGCTGGCCGGCTGGACCACCTACTTCCTGGTGCTGAAGTGACAGCGCCCGCAGCCCCGCCCCCCGCCGCGCCCGCCTCGCGCCCACCCCCCAGCCGCCAGCCCCACGGCGCGCTGCTCCGCCCCCGCGCCGGACGCGCTCCGCTCGCTGACGGAAGAGCTCTGCGCCTCCCGCCCGGGCTAGGGCTGCCTCTCGAGGCACGGCCACGCCCGGGTTGGAGTCCAAGTTCCCCTCACGACGGCCGACTCCGCTCCGCCCGCTCCTCGCCCTCAGGCCCGGGGCCCGCCCCGTCCCGCGCCGAAGCTCCGGCCGTTGGGCTTTCGCCGCAGCCGTTACTGCCGTTACCCTAAGCCCCGCCCCCTCCCTCCCTCCCGTCCAATCCCGACTGCTTCTTCGGGCTGGGGTGTGGTCATGGGGCCAGGCCCGCTCAAGAAGAGGGCGCGCCCCGTTCTCAGCTCGTGAAGCGGCGTCACTTCCGGCGTGTGCGTCTGGCGGCTGGCCGGCGCAGGATGGCGGCTCTGAGGAGCTGGCTGTCGCGGAGCGTAGCCTCCCTCTTCAGGTACCGCTGCGGTCGGGTACGAGGGCAGCACCGCAAGGGGGGAGGCGCCACAAGTAGCGCCGTGGCCGGGACGGCTGCGCCGGCGTAGCTGGCGCTCGTTTCGCTCCTCGGCCGAGCGGGCCGCGGCGTCCCGCCCCTCTCAGGTCCGAGGACGTCCCGGCTCTGCCTCCCGCGGCCAAACCGGGGGTTTATTTCTCACTGACGGTTTTTCCATTATCCCACCGGCTGAACGCCAGTCCTCCTCCCTCCCCAAGCTCGGGCTGGCTTCCTGAGGCGCCTCGGCCTGCCTGCGAGTTCCCGGTGGCCCATCGCCGTCACTGGAAGGAGATGGGGGAGCGGCCCGGGCGAGCGGCGGGTTATGAGAGGAAGTTTTCCCTGCGGGCAGGAGAGGAGCTGGTCGGTCCCCGCGCGGCCCTGCTGGCTGCGGGTTCCGGGTGTGACGTAGTGGGGACCATCGGGGACACCTGGCAACCTCGGCCACAGGTCCGGAGCTAAATGCTGCGTGCAGCAGTGTTTATTTTGGCCGAAGGTTTTTAAAAAGCTTTGAGACTGCCTTTTAAACTTCCACACCTGTTACCGATGAAACTTCGAAATCACTGGGCCCGCATCCCTGCGCGGCCGAGGTTCCCGAGAGTTCGGTAGCAGTTGCCCCTTCCAGCGAGTCCGAGGCTTTCCAGTCCGACACGCTCTCCCCCGAGCCCTGTCACCTGGAAGGCCGACCCAGCATCTTCGTGTAGGCTCCTGCTTGGCCGAGTGTGAGTTTCTAACCCCTGCAAACAAATTGAAGAGACTTACAGATTGGTAGTTACCGCCTTCCTAAATTTGACTTGTGTTTCTAGGTACAGGCAGTGTGTTCCTGTCGTGGCTAACTTTAAGAAGCGCTGCTTCTCAGACTTGATAAGACCATGGCACAAAACTGTGGCAGTTGGATTTGGTGTGACCCTGTGTGCAGTTCCTATTGCACAGGTAAAAATCCTGTAGTGTCAATGGGTGTTTCTTAGTGTACAGTGCCCCCCTGAAGTCTCAGCTGGGCAGTGAACCATCAGCTCTTCGTGTTACCCAGTGCTCCCCCACCCACGCGATGGTTTACTTTCTCCTATACCAGCATCATCTTTTCATAGCTGAGCAAATATATTAATATTCCCATTTTTAATTGTCCCATTTGGTAGGAACAGTATGTCAAGGTGGTCAAATTGCATAAAGAGGGAGGAGAATAAGATGAGGATATTACAATCCATCAACAGAATAGTCTTTCACTCAACAAAAATTTATTGAGCAAGTTTAATGTGCCACATGTTGGAAATGTAAGAACAAAACAATTCCTGCTTTCATAAAACTTGCGTTCTGGGGTGGGGGGCCTGGGTGGCTCAGTCCGGTTAAGAGTCCAACTCTTAATTTGTTTTGTTTTTAAAGATTTTATTTTAGAGAGCACGGGCGGGGTGGGGGTGTGAGGAGCAGAGGGAGAGGGACAAGCAGACTCTGCACTAAGCACAGAGCCCTACCCCAGGCTCGATCCCACAACCCAGAGATCATGAACTGAGCTGAAATCAAGAGTCAGCAGCTCAACCTACTGAGACACCCAGGTGCGCCAAGCGTCTGACCGTTGATTTAGGCTCAGGTCATGATCTTAGGGTTGTGAGATCGGGCTGCATTGGCCCGGCATGGGGCTCCACCCTGGGCATGGAGCCTGCTTAAGATTCTCCCTCTCCCTCTGCCCCTCCCCCCATCTCTCTCGCTCTGTCTCTCTCAAAAAAAAAAAAAAAACCCACATTCTAGGGAAAAGAAAGGGGAGAAAATAAATATAAAATGCCACCTGATGAGTGCTATGCAGGAAGCAAATAGGGTAAGAATATAGGGGGACTGGGAGGGAGTTGTTTTATTTTAGATAGGAGAGTGTGGTCCAGGAGGGCTACTCTGATAAGGTGATATTTAAGTTGTGATCAGAATGATCTGAAAGAATGAGCCATGGTAATATCTTGGAGAAGAGTTTGCCAGGCAGAAGGAACTCTTGAGTGCAAAGACCTAGAAGCAGGTGTGTCTACCTGATATGTTTGATGAACAGCAAAAAGGTTAATGTGGCTGGAGTGGAATGAGAAAGAGAGCGTAATAGACAAAACCAGAAAATTAGCTGAGACACACTGTCTTGTCCTTTTGAGCCATTGTAAGGCTTTGAATTTTATTCTGAAAAGGAAGCCACAGAGGAATTTAACACAGGCTGTTACCATCTCACATAACGTTTTAAAGGTTGCTGTGTGGAACTAGGAAGACCAATGGGAGATTGTTGCTCTAGTCCAGGCTTGGAGTAGGCGGGCAACAGTGTAGGTAGGGAGAAGTGGACCAAATGTGGTCAGCACGAGTTGCTGATGGATTGAATGTGGAGTATATTCCAGGGTTTTTGAAAAAGCCTAAGCGCCTGAAAGAATGGAGTTACCATTTATTGGAGTGGAGGGGAAGTAGGTTTTGGGAGGATGAAATCAAGAGTTAAGTTTTGGAAATGACAGTCTAAAATGTCTAGTAGACATCTAGGTGGAGTTATCACGTAGGTGATATGAAAGTGGTACCTTATTAAAAAGATCACTGGTTATATGCTTTCTGCGAAAAAGCTCAATAGGAAATTAGCAAACCCCATTTTGGCAGAATATTTCTGATACTTATATGTGTGTTTATCGCAACAAGAAGATCAATTCCAGGGGCGCCTGGGTGGCTCAGTTGGTTAAGCGTCTGCCTTCAGCTCAGGTCATGATCTCAGGGTCATGATCTCAGGGTCCTGGGATCAGCCCCGCATCGGGCTCTCTGCTCAGTGGGGAGCCTGCTTTTCCCTCTGCTCCTCCCCTCCCCACTTGTGTTCTCTCTCTCTTAAATAAATAAATCTTAAATGGAATTGATCTTTTTTTTAATCACAAATCTTTTCAGCATCTTCTGAGGCTCTCTCATGAGCCTGCCTCTTTTTGTTCCTCACACCAAACCTCATCTCTGCTTGTTCATAGAATTGTTAATCCTAAAACCCTTACTTGAGCACCAGGCCATTTTCTGCCACAATTAGGATAGCCTTTCTTCTTTCCTTCAAAAGAAGTTTTTGGGTTTGTCCTTTCTCAGTTCATACACTTTTCTTAAGCCCCAGTTACCTCAGTTCTGGGCCACATGACAGGAGCCTCAGGTCATTATCCTGTAGGAATGGCCGTTTCACTTCTGTTCTTCAGAACCTGCAGCGGCTCTCCATTGTGTGTTGCAGAACTAAAACCCAGCCAACTCTCCCCGTACTCCAGTCTCCTTGTTCTCTTACCTCCCTTGTGCTATCTATCTGTTGGAACCAGGCCAGATCCCTGAATGTCCCCTGCATGCAACAGATGTATCTTTTCCTCATTATTTCTTCATCCCCAGGCTGCCTGACAGCTCTCTTCCTAGCTATCTTCAGGCCCAGTCCCACCTCTTTTTAAAGCCTTTCAGAGTTTCTGGCCAGCAATGATCTCCCTCTTTCTGACCACTTGTGTTGTATTTTGATATTTGTTGATTACACTCTCCTGAGTCAGCAGAGCATAATGGAAAGGGTACAAAAGTTGACGAAGATGTGGTTTAAGGTCAAATATGTGACTTTTTGGGAGAGAATGTAATTATTCTGGGTTTCCATCTCCTCATCTGTAAAAAAAAAAAAAAAAAAAAAGTGATACTACCTGGCCTGTCATGAGGAACAAGTGAAACGCACTGTAAAATGCATTATGGGTGGATCAGTCGGTTAAGTGTCCAACTCTTGGTTTTGGCTCAG